AATTCACACCCTTATAACTAAGTTAATCAAAAAGCCTATAGCATTTATGGGGGCTTGGTAAAGACTTTTTCAATAAAAATTAGTGAAAATAGATTGTGCTAATTTGGATTTAAAGTTTACACATTACGAATAGTTTTAAAATTTCTAACATTTTTTTATTCACACTGATGGTATTTATTTTTTCTTTTTATTTGATTGAGAGAATGTTTTTATCTCTGTTTACCATGTAAGAGGAGATGAGAGATTTTGTCTTTAATTGTGTTAAGAAAATATTTTTACCTTTTTGGCATTTTGTGTTTCAAAGTTGATTGAAATATAATTTTAGAAAATATTAGCATATCAATTATTAGGATGATAGTATCAAACAATATCAATTAATTAAAATTATTATTGACTTTTTAAACATCTCATGAAAGACGTGTTTTTATATTGAAAAAAGTGCCTATCAAATTTTCCTGGGCTTTTTTGTCATCCTTATACTAGGTGTATGGATTTAGACTAAGGGTTGTGAATTTAGTCCCACCCAACAACAATTTTCAAGTATAAATAGTAGGATAAAAGTCTCACAAGGTCTCTATTTCAAAAGGAGATGTTATAATTGAAAACTCAACTATAATGCAATAGGTAAACACTCAACACATACGCTCAATATATGACAATTTTTATTTGGTTTTGATGAAATATGGATAGGCAAATGAAATTCTAGACTCTTGCAATGATTTGGTAAAATTTAGGTACGAACGGAGTTGGAGAAACTCCTTTTTAATGTTAAAAATTATAGCCATTGGAAACTAGTCATTACTATACCACTTAGACATCCGCTTGAGCTTGGTGATCCGAATAACCTTGAAGGTCTTATAGTGAATGGAGGGGAAGACAAGATGAAAGGTTAAAGTGGTATCGGAGTCAAGGGAAGACTGATATTTAAGGATGGGTAAAATACCAAAAAACTCTATGTGATTTGATAAATGTTCAATTTAACTTCCTCTAGTTTCGAAACCTACACTATAACTTCCTGTAGTGTTGATTAAATTGAAAATTGGACAGAAAGCATCCAATCTAACAGTTGCGTGTGAAATGTCAATATTGCCCCTACTATATGTAAGATGCTTTCCATTCAATTTTCAATTTAGTCAAAATCATAAGGAGTTATAATTTAATTTTTCAAATTAGAGGGAGTTAAATTGAACATTTAACAAATCATAGGGAGTTCATTTATATAGGGGTAATATTAACATTTTACGTATAACCATTAGATTGATGTTTTCCGTCCAATTTTCAAATTAGTTGAAATCACATAGAGTTATAGTGTAGATTTCCAAACCATAAGGAGTTAAATTAAACATTTAGTAAATCACAAGGAGTTTTTTGATATTTTACCCTTTAAAGATTAATATTTTGGTAAGTCTTGAACTTACTTTATTTAAGGATTTTCGTTCTAAGGTCAACCTAAGGCCAACCTAAGGCTATTAGGATAAATCCAGGCTACCCTCGTAGGTTTTAAATTCTCTTTTGGTTGATCCAAAAATGATCTTTATACATCGTATCTTTCCTTAAATACGCTACAAATCATTTCTAGTGCCAAAAATCTATTTTGAAATTTGGGAGATCAAGTTTCATTGAATTTCTCACGCTGCTTCTTCTCTTTATCTGTCATTTTCTCTAACTTCTATTTATTTCTTATTCTCTTCTCAAAGGCCTTCTATTAGGGAGGAAAACTACTCCATGTTTTCCTATCACGAATTTCATTTGTTTTATTTTTCTAATAAAGTCTCTCCTAAGTTTTCTAGTTCTCCTAATAATTTCTAGTGAGAATTTTTTATTCTTTTATAGATTCCTACGGAGATTTGTGTTTTTTTTTCCCTTATTTTATTGTTGGATCTAAATTTATTTCAGATTTAAATTTTTTTGAACTTTGAATCTATTTCGATAGATTTCATCATCATTGTTGGAACTTAAAATCATTGCAGATTTTGGCAATTGCAACATGCGTAAAAAAGGGCCGTAGTGATTTATCTATTAGAAGACAATTGTGAAATTTTTTATACTTTTCATATCTGTTGATAATTGTTCAAATCTATAATCTTTAGTGCATGTTTAACCTGCCATTAATATAGTGATGTAAATCATATCAAATCAGTTTGGATGATTTCTAGCAATATGTTAATGAAATTTGCTTTTATAAAAAAAAATTTCATTGAATTTTGTTTTACTCGATTTCTTACCAAAAACAACTTGATCTCTCTTTTAATACCAAGTCTGCAAAGCAATAGAAATTTTTTCAAACAGGATTTGTGTCCGATCTTTTACGCACTCTCTCGTCTAATATACCTTTGTGTCTAGATACAATCTCCTTTAAATTCAAAAAGCAAATTTTTCGTTGATCTATTTCGTATTATATTTTTCTCAACAGCCACATATTCATTTTAAAACCAAAGGACTTCTTACCATGTTTTTGTAAAACGGGTACTTGTCCTTTTGGACAATCTATCTTCTTTTTGTGTACTATAAAGACACTTAAATTTGTGAACCTTGAGGTTTTTTTTTTTACCTTCAATAAACCATAGAAAGAGCATCGCATCCTATTCCTACCTCTGCCGCGCGGTATTTGCTAGTCAAGATTGCCCAATTTGTAGTATCCTTCTATTGAGTTAAATTTGAGTTTTGGGGAAGTAACTATTTATACTAGCCTTGTTCTATCATTTTCAAACATTGTCTCCATTTTGATTGGTCCTTCATGGCTATCACTTTGGCAATACAAATGAATTGAAACACAATCACAAATGTAAATCAATTTTTTTTTTTTTTTTGCTTCAAGAAAGTCAAAATCAGATTTGAGGATAATTTGGTCCTAAATTTGCATTCTTGAAGGCTTGAATTTTCCTCTTGTTTAGGATTTGCAATCTATTTGTCTCCTTGATCCAATTAGAGCAAACCGTGAGTTGCTCAATATTTTTGGCTAGGAAAAAAAAAAAAGAGACAGTGTGAATTGGTTTAAGAGTGGCACACATTACAACTTTCATATAAAATTAAGCAGTAGCAAAGTCTTTTCTCTCATGTGTAATTTCACCATACAATTTGGTATTTTATTAAGGAATATTTTAATTTGAGAAAAATATAAATTTAGCAAGTGTGATTGACCAAATTATACAACTCTAAGGAGTCCTCATTGATTAGTATAGTTAGCAAAATTCGGGATGGATAAAATACAAGACATTACATGTACATACATTGTATAATTTTCCCCCCCAGAAGACAATTAAAAGCTTGGCATAAAAATATGAGTTTGGCAAAATTATGCAGATAAATTTTGTACATGAATAGCATGAACATATTTGAAAGATAGTAAATTAAAATTATAGATAAAGTTACTATAACATTCCAAGATTATGCTACATTGACACTAATTTAACTCTTATAATTGTTTACGAGATGTTAGATTCATTAAAATTGTACCACCTCTCTATTTTACTATATATAAATCTCAAGTAATTATGACAGAATTATGAAATTTAATACTAAAAAAATTTATTACTTGTTTTATATAGTTAATTAAAAAAATATGAGAATTTTTCAGAATTTTTAAAATATGTGAAACCGGAATTTTTTTTTTTGAAGTATATGTATATGACATGATTTTTAAAAAAAAAACATGATTATTTACTAACTAGACTAATTACTATGTTAATAAAAAGGAAAAAAAATTTACCATTGGGAGCGCTGTAATATATCATATTTATATACAATTCAAATTGATAGAATTGCAATTAGTACGATATTCAAGTATTCAACTTGGTCTAAGAATATAAAACAACTCAATTAGATTTATGTGACAAATACAGAAAAAGAAAAAACTGATTAATCTAATGAAAAGAAAAACTTAATTAGATTTATCTTCATTTTAAGCCCATCTCTGATTTTACTGAGTTTTTCATATAATACACGTAAAATTTTTTAAAAACACCTCAAAAACTATCGACCTGACTTTTTTTGGTAGACACATAAGCAACACGTTTCCTTCCTGAAGTCGTGACGCCATTTTAGCGAGTTTGAGCCGAATTGTTTGACTAAAACCCAAAACCCTGTCACATTAGCTTATTCGCCCTGACTTCAATCGCAGCTCCGCCATGAAACACCTCCTGGCCACCATCCGCCGGCGCCACTGCCGCCACGCTGCACCCTTCCTCCAACTGGCCTACTACCAATCCCTGAAGCCCCAGTCACCCTCAGAACCTGCCACTTCCCTTACTAAAAGCTCCTGGTAAAGTTTCCTAACCACCCGGGGGGGGCCCCTTTTTTACCATTTCGTTTTTGTTTCTTTATAAATTCCTGAAATTTCACAACCAAGAGAGCTCATTTTGGATATTGGTTTATGGTTTGATTCTGCCCAATATGGTAGCAAGAATTAAGAAACTAAGAGAAGTCACCTGGGTTGAAGAGGGCTTTAATTCTGATATAAGTTTCTTGCAATTTCATTTTTTTATGAAGATTATGTGATGTTGTAGTTACAAGTTTCATCTTCTTCTTTAGCATTCTTGGATATGCTACTACTGAAATGAGCTATTCTTCTGTTCTTGGGCGGGATGCTTCAGCTGCAGGACAAATGCTTTGATCAGGAAATGATCCATAAGCATTAGACATTGTGCAATTAGTATTTCCTGATGAACATTTTATATGCTCTTCAGAACGAGTACATTCCACCAAAGAGATTATCAAGCAAATCCAATAAGCGCTTGAAATATTGGCCCCTTCTGAGAATGCATCTTGGGCATGGTTTTGAAAGTTGAGGAAAGTTTGTGAATTTTTTGGCTGATGAGTGAGATAGAGAATGACACGAAAAATCTGTAAACATAATTTCCTTTTATAAGTACAAAGCAATAAATGATTGAAAGTTTTACTTCGAGAAGTTGAACTGCTAGCTGGACCATTAACGTATATATTTTGATCTTTACCTAAAATTTAAAAGGCCTGAATTGAAAGCTTTAGTTTTTTTCCCTGTATTTTTTAACGATATCGGATCTTTAGAGGCTTGATCTTGTCAGTAATGACACACTGCTTCTACATCATAATTAGTTTATACCTTGGATGTTTAACCCATTTCAGTTTTCAAGATCGCTATTTATACTAAATGCTCTTCTATAGGAGAAGGAAATTGAAGGTGCATGTAGAAGAAGAATTTTTGTCCGTTCTTTTTTTCCCCCTTGAAAAGCTATAATTTTATTAGCCAATATAAACTTAAAACAAACTGGGTGGCTGTCCAATGTCAACCTATGCTAACTATTGTAGATACAGGGAATCACATATGATGGCTAATTGTATTGCCAGTTTCTTCTTCTTTAAAAAGAATAATGAGCATTTAGAAAACACAGAACTTACACCATGTTGCTGGCGCCACATCCAAAACTTGACTTTCTTCAAGCTTATCAACAACGGGTTTGCAGCTAGGTTGAATATAAATTCTGCTCCTGCCTTCCCCTGAGTTTTAGTGATTCCATTCGTAATTTTTCCTGCTTCCTGAATTTTGATAGAGCTCTTTGTACTGCCTGTCACCCGAGCTACAATGATCTCTCATTTAGGATCTCTGGCTACCATGCCTATGTTAAGGTGGGGTTCAACTATTGCAGCTACATTGATCCTTATAATACGTATTGCTGGAGGTTCCTAGTTTTCCTTTGTAGTCTGGCAACCCGCTTATTAATCTGATTAAATTCAATCCAGTCCTGGCCAGCTTTCTGAATAATCTTCTTACAATCTCATCTTCAATAAAGAGTTTGTTCCTCCCTTTTCAGATTTACCACAAAACTATGAGAGTCACGTGCATCCTATTTCTACCTGCGCTTTGTTTACTTACTTCCTTTAGCTTTTCCCACCAGTCCAGAAGTTATGCTGTACATCTCTGAGACCCATCCACTGTACTAGTGCCACTATCCACACCTTTGCAGCTTCAGAACTTGTCAGAAGTGTATGGCAAATTGTTTCAACCTCCTCCCCACAGGCTTTGCATTACAGTTTAAGGTTCCCAACAGATTTCAAACCTTGTGACTGAAAATCATTCTGCTCGATTCTATCCCTTGTCTTCCCCCTCTGTCTTTGTCAATTTCTCTTCTCTTAGCTTCTTCATAATCTGAACTAACAGTGTAGCTTCTGGATTTGGAGTATACCCTATTGAATCTGTCATGCAAGTTCATTCATTTAATTGTTTTTTTTTCCTTTAAGCTAAATTCCAAAAGAAGAAGAAAGACAATGGAGAAGCAAGAGGGTTGATTCTCAGTTAAACCTCCTAAAACCTATCAAATGAAATCAGTAGCAAAATGTATAGGTCTTCTGAAAACTATCCCCTAATTCAATTGGGTTTTTCTTGAAACCTCATTTTAAGCGCATTTGTCTTTACTTCTACAGGTCAATTCATGAGAATCCAATGTCTATCCAGGATGTAAACGGCCTCCAAATTGCCAAACAAGCTGATAGAATCTGCCAAATATTGTCCAACCATAATGGCTCAGGAAATGTTGACTCTGCTATGAAATCTGCTTCAGTTGAAATAAAGATCACTCAATTGTTGGTGCAAGAAGTTTTGAAGAAGCTCAGCAACGCTGGTTTGTTGGCTTTATCTTTTTTTAGGTGGGCCGAGAAGCAAAAAGGAATCAAGCACACCTCAGCGAGCTACAATACTTTAATTGAATCCCTGGGAAAAGTCAAACAGTTTAAAATGGTATGGAAACTAGTTGAGGAAATGAGGCAACAAGGCATGCTGTCAAAAGACTCTTTTGCCCTAATTTCACGCCGCTATGCCCGAGCTCGGAAAGTTAAAGAGGCCATTGATGCATTTGAGAGTATGGAAAAATTTGGGCTGAGGCCAGAATTGCAAGACTATAACAGATTGATTGATACTTTATGCAAGTCCAGGCATCCAGAGAAGGCACAGCAGGTGTTTGACGAATGGAAGAATAAAAGGTTTAAGCCTGATATTAAGTCATATACCATATTGTTGGAAGGGTGGGCCCAAGAGCAGAATTTGTTGAGATTAAATGAAGTTTGTCGTGAAATGAGAGATGATGGTTTTGCACCAGATGTTGTAAGTTATGGTATTATGATCCATGCTTATTGCAAGGCTAAAAACTATCATGAAGCAGTTGAAAAGTATCATGAAATGGAGAGGAAGGGCATTAAAACAACTCCTCATATATACTGTACTTTGATCAATGCTTTGGGATCAGAGAAAAGGTTGAGTGAGGCCCTCAAGTTTTTTGAACTGGCCAAGACTAGTGGTCATGCTCTTGAAGCACCCACGTACAATGCAGTTGTGGGGGCGTATTGTTGGTCAATGCGAATCCATGATGCTTACCGGATTGTTGATGAGATGAGGATATGTGGTGTTGGTCCTAATTCACGAACTTATGATATAATACTTCATCATCTTATTAAGGCTCATAGAACACAAGAAGCATATGCTGTTTTCCAGAAAATGAATGATGAACCAGGATGCGAGCCAACTATTAGCACATATGAGATTATGGTGCGAATGTTCTGCAATGAGGAGCGGACAGATATGGCTTTGAGGGTGTGGAATCAGATGAAGGCTAAGGGATTCCTTCCTGGGATGCATATGTTCTCATCATTGATTAACAGTTTGTCCCATGAGAATAAATTGGAAGATGCCTGCAGATATTTTCAGCAGATGTTAGATATGGGAATTAGACCTCCAACTCCAATGTTTAAGAACTTAAAGCAAGCTCTTCTTGATGAGGGGAAGGAAGATACAGTGCTGACATTGGCAAAAAAACTTGAGAAACTAAGGGTTACGCAAATAGTCAGTTAATGACAAGAGATATTGACCTTTGTCTTTTGTTCTGGTGTATTTAGAATACTTTAATCTGCCCATGTTAATACAAATTGGAAATTCTTTTCTTGATTCCATTAGAGGTTCTTGCTATGCACACGGTGGATGAAAGGTCAATCCTATGACATTAATTTACTGTTTTGAAATAGTTGAAGCCCAACGGTACACATGTTGCATAATTATATCCAATTTTATGTCTTCGAGTTTATAGGTTGTCTGATTTGTCTTAATTTCTTTTCAAAGTTAAAGATTGTGATTGGGAATGGTAGATGAGGTATCTGCTCCCTTCAATGGGTAATAATTTGCAGTGAGGTTGACTGCGAATTAGCTTGCTAGTGACGGGTATCTCAAGCTGTTCAAATTCAGTGTAAGACATAGTATGATAGACCGATATATACTTATAGACCTACACTTGCCAAGTGGTAATTTTAGAGTGTGTGTGTTTGTTTTTTTTTTTTTTTTGGCAGCAACTTTTATTGGGTCTTAGAATTATTAATTATGTTAAATTGTACAAAGCGGTTGCATGAAAGTTTTTGTAATTATTGGAAATCAAGAAATATTTGAATATCAATGTTAACATTTTTAACCTATATGACATTTTGATTACATTAGCGGAGACTAGTGGTCCTATTGACTTCCTACAGGGGAACCATGAGGAGTGTCAGTTTCTAATTTATGGTGATAGTTCTTGTCTAAATGAATATTCATGTGAACCAAAAGCATATATACTGTTCCTTGGCTTGTAAATTTGATCCATTTCTCAATGTTTCATTTTAATTTTGTTCTGTAGGTTTGTCAAGATGCTTTATCTACATTTATTTTACTTATTTTCAAATCAACATCAGATAGTGTTGCTGTAGACGTCGCACTAGATTTTTATTCTCTATAGATACTTTGTGGCTGGAGGAGATGCAGTCAAATTTTGAAAAGTTTGTGAATATGATGCATAGCTTTGTGGTTTGTCCAGGTACTTTATCCACATTAATATCTTTCTGACTTATTATTTGAAGTATTGCAATGTAAAAGTATGAGACTGTGGTGTAGATCCTTTGTCTAAGAGGTGGCTTTACATCCCATAAGAGATATGCACACTTTTTTTCCCCTTTGAAGTGTGGGGCAATAAGTGCAGCCTACTGCTACTTCTGACTAATCTGAATGATCAATGTTCTTTAACCTGCTGCTTAGTTGTGTCATAATTTACCTGTGGTGTACGAGTGTCCCGTGGGGTGAGTTTTTGGTGGGATAGAAACTTTGGAGCATGTACGAATTAGCTAAACAATCTAGAACTGAAGGTTAGTCGAATTAGCTAAGTCCCCTGGTAGGTTGCTTGAAGTGATGGTTTTGGTTTTTTAGACTTTTTTCACCTTTAAGTGACATCTGACTAATGCAATTATTTGAAGCCTGTATTCATTGATTGGGTGTTTATCTTCTCTTTTTGGTAACATTTTGGTGCTATAGGGCGTTTCTGACTTTTTCTGGTGTGCTGTGTCTGCATGTTGGTATGTGATAAAGCATATTTTATCTTGATGCTTATCCATTATTTATAGAAATTCTATTTCTTTATGTTATGAGAAAATAATGATATCTTGATATCTGAAACTAATTTTCATGGTCACTTTTGAAGATTGTCTAGCTGCATCCTTCATGCTAAAGCTTCACAAATTGAACATAGGATGTCTCTGCTGTTATCTGACTCAGTCTTGGTGACATTGTCTGCCGCTGATTATTTGGCTGTAACCTTCTATACAATGTTTATCACCTTGTCCAACCATCCTTGGAATTCCTGGTTTCAGCAGGCATTTAGTGTATGAGGGACCTTTGATAATTTGTCATGGTGTTTGTGCAGATATTTAATTGTTTGTGCCTATTGAACTTTTGCAACTTGCTATGTATTCTGGTCAGGATATTGTTAAGGTTTCGTTCTTCTGCAAGTTGGTGTGGATTGAGATTTGATGTCTTATACCTTTTTGTTTCAATAATATTATATTGTGATTACAGTAGGTATCTTTTTTATTTACTTAATTCCATCTCCGTAAACTCTAAAAGTTGGTTAAGGCAACATCATGGATGAAGTAGATGGACCTTCTGCGAAGCTGATGGACACCATTGTTGTCCCCACTAGTGAAATTGAGAAAAGTTTGGGAGCTGTACTCCTTATTAACATGAGCACCGCTCTTGTATCACAGAATCCTTTATCTGCTAGGAAATTAATGGTTTGCTTGGACAAGGTGTTTCTTCTGATCACACCTTGGGCATCTGCACCATTGGAATGCTTACCGCCTTTATAAGAAAGCGGCCTAAGTTCCCCAATCTCTGTAGAAGCTATTATTTAATTTATTAACTTTCACATATTATGGTGTTAATGATCCTACAGATCCTTCTCTACCCAGAATATAATGATCTGCATAACACTGAGGTAAATGAATACGCCAATTCATGGTGCTGGTAGATGTACATGTGAGTTTTGTTTTGGTTAATGATTACTGTCCTCTTTCACTTGTAGATTGAGATGGAGAAACTTCTTGCACATCTTGTGTTAGCTGATTTCACCAGTTGATTGGTATACCTTAATCTTTATTCATCTTCATGGTTTGGTGATAATGTAACTTTTCATGTTTTAAGTTCAATAATCTTTTCTTTAATATTCAAAAGTTGTTGAAAGTAAGCTCTATATATAGTAGTTTTACTGTGTCTTACAGAGAAAGGTTCTATAGAAATCAAATTCTGCAGTGCAACTTAGTTTCTTCTGTATAGGTTGACTGAGGAGAACACATGCTAATATTGGAGATAGAAAGCAAGCAGAGGACACAATCTCTTGTCACCTTGTTTACCATTCTTGTTTCGTGTTTCCTTTTGAAACAGAGAAAGGAACTATGATTTATGTCCCCTTTGGTTATACAAAATTAATAAGTGAAGCAAATTGTTGTTTTGAAAAAGTTTCTGAACCTTCTGATTCCAAAAAGCTTTAGTATCTAAATGCCAGATATAAGACATTTACAAGCATATCAGTGGAAGAAACAAAAAGGGCACCTTTCTCTTGAAAATAATGTCAAGAATCTTCTGTAAACCAAATAAGTTTGCAAGGATGAAATGGTTCATTGTGAAACATGCATAAATGATAGGAATCCCAAAATAAATAAATCCCCTTCTCAAGATAACCAAATTGCACATATTCAACTACTCATTAGTCCACAGTGGATAAAGAACACCATAGTAGGGAAACTTAAAAGGGGAAAGAACACCACTTCCTTTCCAACTTGCATTTGTTAAGCATACCCTTGGCGTTCATCCTGTGTGTCAACTATTAAGTCTTTATGCTACTATGTTAAAATCCTGAGCAATAGGTACTGAATTTTTGTAATGAATTTTTATGTGCACCCTAGGTAGCACATCCAGTAAAATCTTCCAAAATCTAATGAACTTTCCTCTCTAGCTGGTTACAGAAAGCCATTTAGATCCTTTGTTTCGTTTGCATTAACAGCTTTTCATGATGGTATTTAGCTTTTTAATAAGTTGAATCTACTATTTCCGAATTTATTTGATTATTTCATTAGCTTCAAAATTGATGTTAGTAATGTGATAGTATATATTTATATGCTGATCTTCTAGAACCTTACGATATCTCTTTATCCTCTATCTTCTAGTTCTGAAATTTTAACAAATAGATCGTACCGGAGATCTGAGCACAAGTTAAAGTTCAAGGGCCTCCAAATATCTGCCAATTGTCTGCTGTGAGTAAGGAGCTTTTGTGCATTTTCATTAGTTAATCATGGTCCATTCTCAGAAGTTCTCCACCAGTGAGAAAAAGTGAGTCACTTTTGGTTAACATATCTTGAAATGTTATTCATGGAGTCTTACCTTGCCCCTTGCCATAGTTTTGGCATATCCATGCTAGTTACTTCTCCATTATTAGGAATCTGTTGAACTTTTCAATTGGGACAATTCTGGCTTTCCACCTTGTTGGTTGTTAAATTGTGGAACTAGGTATGACAACCTTTATTTTCTTAGCTTAGCAATATTTTGATGCTCAAATAAGTTTGTGTTTGTTTTATCTGTTGTGCAGCTGGTTTGCAACTGTGGTTCTACATATACATTGCCTTACCCCATTCATTGCATTGTTATTGGAGAACGGCCTCAGGACAGACTCTAATTGTTTGCTTGTTTAATAGTTCCATTGTTATATTCTTGGATTGGTTGTTAAGTTATCCTTTAAAAGAAAAAAATGGTTATCCTTGTTTACAATATAATTTCTTCCTTGTTCCTGAGGCAGGAGGAATGATCGGCACCTTTTCTTCTTGTAAATTTCAAACCCATGTTGAAAGAGCTAGTCAAAGTTTACATCCCCTTTTATCCATTGACATTCTTGACTCCTAAATATGGCAGTAATCTTAGCAATGGGAATCAGAAGCATGCAGATAAGTTTATGAGGCCTGTGTTGTTTGTGCACCACTGAAGAAAGATCCCTATGGAAATGAAGCCGCAAATTATTTGACCTATGAGAGTTAATTTGTTTGATAAAATTGGAGTGTAACGCAGTTTGTATCATCTCTGTTTGCTTTCATGAGTTTGGTGGTGAAAGGGCTGTCCATTACCTGTCAGGAGACTACCTTGCCCTGCACATTTTGGTGGTTACGGCAATCATAGGTAGTTCCTAATGCAGAAGCTCGAAATGGTTTTTGGGTAGGTTTTTTCTCTCTTATTCTACTTAGATGCGTGACAGCATGGGTAGAGAATTGAGCCATTGAAACAAACCTCACAAATGTGAGGATTCCTCATTAGTCCTTTTAAAATGCTGAAAAGGAAAGTGTTCCACATAACATGATACTAAATTCATAGCAAGAAAATCATTTTAGTTCATTTAATTTGTTCTACCTGGAGTGCATTGCATGTTGTGGATTCATTTATCCAGCGTGTGAAATTTATGCAATGGTGGTTTCACTTGTCTTTTTGTTTGTTCTTCTTTTCTGATTCTTATACATGATGTGTTTTTGTTGCCAGTCATGTAGCAGAAAATGTTGATGGTGAAAAAAGAAGCAGAATGTGGCCGAAACGAATGAAAATGGCTGGGGAAAAAAAAGGTAGTAACAGCATAACAGGAGGGCTAGCCAGGAAGAAAAAGAATGGTCAATTATGCTGTAAAATGGCAATGTATACAACTAGTGGAAAAAGCACATCGATGGGT